CAGACGGATTTACGTAAAATCTTACTGCGAGAGATGATTGTTCAAGGCAACAATAATATTTGCTCAATTGACCAAGATACGAGCAAAATAAGGGATCATTCTATTCTTGTGTGTGGTGGTGCGGGCACAAAGAACCCGAAATTGGGAACGGGTACTCGGATGAGACACCGATTTATTGAGATGGGAGTGCAGGCAGTGTTCTTTGTTTGGCAGGATATGGCTGATAAATCGATCGCGTGAGTCAAAATGCTTGCTCACAATAAAGTCAACCAAAACGGTCTTTGAAATGCTGTTACAACGAGAAAGAAGTTTAAGAGATCTGGGAAAGAGAATAAATTCTTTTTCCTTCAGACCAGGAAAATATACGGGGGAACAGTACAACCAATGGGGAAGAATGCAAGCAGTCAAAAATTTGATAATTACATTTGAGAGAACGCCGAGCTTTTTAAGCCTAAAGGCGTAGAATGGTAGCTTACGAACCCGAATACAAATGTTTTCAACATGTTTTGACCAAGAAAGATTGTGTGACAAAGTAACTTCAAGATATTTCACAGTGTTAGCTTTGGGGATGGTATTACCATTAACAGAAAGTTTAGGCTGATTATTCAAAAGGGTTTGATGAAGCATACATGTTTTAAGGCTAAAAGAAACATCTACATATTTATCTACATTTAACATTAAAGATCGGGGAGTCGACCGACTAAAAATGTTATTGAGACCAATGTAAATTTGGGAGAAACAATCAGGAACAGTTGAGGGACAGCCGACCATCATGTCATCAGCATACTTGCAGGCGATAAAGTTGGGAAGGAAGGGAAGGTTTTTAATATACAGTGGAAAAAGAAATGGAGACAAAATTGCACCCTGGAAAACTCCAGATTTAATTTCAAGCAGGGAGAAAGATTTACCGTTACAAAGATGTATTGCATTCGATGAGTGAAATAATTAATTAGTACATTCAGTAAATTAAGTGCCAGGCCACAGTCCGAAAAATTGAATGAGAATGCTGCGATCAAGTGATCCAAAAGCATTTGCATAATCAAGAAAAAATAAACGGACGATGCCAGCCCATTTATCCAATAAGGATGAAACGGAATGAACAACGTGAGCAACAGCATCAGGAGTGGAAAGCAAACGTTTTTAAGCAAACTGAATAGGGTCATGAGTGACAGATAAAAGGGTCAGCCGGTTAAGAAGGAGTCTTTCAAAAACTTCCAATAATGCTGTTGTGTAGGCAATCGGACGATGTACATGGTACATGATAACATGGTACATACTCCTAGAAATATCGTGACAACTTACTCACTAGCAGAATTATTATCCACCACGTTTCGCTCGGATCAAGTGACTAAACTTTGTAGCACATGCCAACCGAGGGAGCTGTGACCACTTTCTAAACAGAATCTCTATCAGTACACCGATTCAGCTTCAAATCTGTATTGTAGTCACACGCCACTTTCACCTTTTACCTACGACTTCTTTTCTACTCGCTACGAGCTTTTGTTTTACCGGGTGCACCTTACTTGTTTACGCTCAACTGCGGAATTGTCACTTGTCCCGGTGAGTCACGCTGCATCGCTACACGTGTAAACATTTCACTGCAGGTCCGATCCTATAAACCGTCGGTCACGAGCTATCCGCCTTCTTACTCTTCCGGGAGCAATAGTCGTATTGCTCTTTGTCATACTTGATTGTTGAGGTAAATCGTGTTTGGTTATCGTAGATAGTGTTAGCTATCTAAAGTATCTGTGGAACACATTCCATCTTGGTACATATTCTTAGAAGTAATGTGACCACTTGATAACTATTTGAATTATTCCTCACATCGTATTCACTCGAACCATTTGACTAAATTTCGTGGCACATGCAATCCGAGGAGCTGTGACCACTTTCGAAACAGAATCTCTATCAGTACACCGAATAAGCTTCAAAGCTGTATCTGTGGAACACATTCCATCTTGGTACATACTCCCAGAAGGATTGTGAACACTTGTTAGCTATTTGAAATATTCCTCACTTCGTTTTCGCTCGAATCATCTGACTGAAGTTCGTGGCACATGCAAACCAGGTAGCTGTGACCACTTTCTAAACGGATAATTTGGATTTATTTCGTTCGGCTTTTTTACCATTCCATACTTTGTCTATTGGCAATATTTGGTAAAACGTGTATAGATACCAATTGTAATCGTCCTCTTGACTGTCCGGAACCTCTTGGAATNTGGAATAAATTGCGCGTTAACTTGCATGCTTCCTTTCCTTCCACGCCCTCGTCAGCTAGGTTACAACCTAGACTGTTTTGCGTTTCTGTCTTCCTTTCCAGAGATCTGCTGCTGTAAGAAAAATAAAGACGTCTTCCGTTAGATTGGCATGATATCCAGTGGTGAATTTATCCGGAGTTCTACTGAAAAACCAAAAGCAAGATACAATCAAATCCTCCAATAACTGGGCTGCTTTCCCACCATGCACACTGAGTGACCCCTACTTCTGTCCATTCCAGTCCAACGATCGGCAGGCTGCCTCTTGTTCTTTTACTCACTGATTGTCGTATTTCCAATTATCTCATCATTCATCCGGTATAACGATTCTTGTTTTTCGTCCTACATCCATCGACTTGCTTTTTTGGTGCATTCTGCCATCTCGATCCTTTTTCTCTGACACATTGTCCACTTTGTGTTCCATTTGTAATTATGTTCACTGCGACCTTCAATTTTTCCCCCCATTTTGGGTCTCTCCTGTACGGAGGATTATGTTGTACATTTGATCATGCCTATGCATGCCTCACGGGGCTCCGTGAAATATATTCGGAAGATCCTTTTGGGAAATTTGGGTTATCCGAGCAGCTCTCCAACAATCAGGGATGCTACTTGATGACATACACAAATTAAATAACTCAGAAACAGGTGAAGCAAGTTGTTCGGCACACTCTTTCAATAGGAAGGGGGACAACGAATCAGGGCCATGTGCCTTGTTAGATTCAAGGGATTTAAGTACATTCAGGACTTCCACGGGGGTGACAGATTGGTTCTCCTCAGTAGATGAAAATAAAGATGGTTTTGAGTTCCGTACAGTAGCATTTGCCAATTGACAGTTTAACTCCTCAACATCCGGAAAAGATCTGTTGCGTGATCCTCAGAGCTGCTTCAAAGTAGACCACATATCGCAGCAGCTCTGGTTTCCCATTAGAGTTTCGATATATATCAGACTTAGGCGCTGTATTTCTATTTTTGATCATTATTGATAGATGTTTGACAGCATTGCGCCTTCCAGTCCTGTAAGCCCTTTCTTTATCACGACGAAACCGTTTTAGAAGAGGCGAAGAGAATCTGTCACTTCGAATATATAAGGCCTCAACTGGGCAACACAGATCATTGCAGAAATTAAGATAAGATATAAGATGCTCACAACTGAAAGAGTTGTCTGCATTGGAAAAGACATTGAAGTCGGTAGATGAAACCATATCTCTAAGTTTGGATACGTTTTCAGAATTACGACTTCTCCTTCGGATGGTTCTGGATGTAGAACAGTTTATATGTTGATGAAAATATTTACCGTAAATTTCAGGGTGCAAAAAATAGAGCAATGATCGGAGTTGACTATGGGAGCCTGTTTCTCAATGAAAAAGATTTCGGGGATATTTACAAAAATCCCGTTGAGTTGGACACCAAGCCGGGTAGGAAAATTTACAAGATTTGTCAAGCCTAAAGTTGTAAGAAAATAGATATTAAAACGATTAAAATCACCAGCAGTAATGCATAAAGACTGGTCTAAACCGGTTACAAGTTGTGAAGAGAAGGAGTCGACAAACAGACGAATATTAGAGGCAGGGGTGTCGGGAGCGATGTAAATGTTCGCTAATGTAATATGATGAAAGTGGCTAATAAATCGAGGCTTATAATAAACGAAAATACAGTTTATTTTGGGAGTAATAAATTGAAAACATTTACGAGCATTTTTGCACTATTTCCTGATGATGAAAGTGACCACTCCACCACCTCTATGAGGGAAGTTCACATTACAATCAACTCGGAATATGTCAAATCCATCAAGGTAAACGATGTTGTCCTCAATATCAGGATGACCAGCCTTCCTGGAGTAGAATTGCCCCTACTTTCTTGGATTCCTTGTGGTGTATCACGCTCTTGACATCATCGAGTTTTCCCATGAGCGAACGAATGTTACTTGAGATAATAGATGGACCGGTCAAATTGCCAACAGAACGACGCCTAAGCACCACACGCCAGCCAGCATGGTGTTTTTATGGTGTCCTCGAACAGATTGTAATAGTCGTTTGAATTGATTTCTCACAGAATGGGCGAAAATCAGAAGCGGGTGTTTCTGCGCGATAAACTGCAAGGATTTCAAAAATGTAGCGTTGTAGGACAACATTTAACTTTGAGAATATAACAAATTGAATCAGAAGTGATGTTAACGCATTCCTCCACTGTAACTTTGTAAAATAAAACTCCACCACAACAAGGCACGGCCAAATTCCGCGATTATGCGGACCCACAAGGTTTCGGAGAAGCGGTCTGGTGTCGTGCCAAGCTAACATCAAGAGGATAAGCGAATATAGGAGTATTATATAAAATCCCAGCGGCAGCCGTCTTCGACCCCCTGGCAAACCTGCGTAGATGGGCGGGTGACAGTCGATGCCTTATTCTCGGGAGATCAACGCTCCTAACGTGAACTGCCCCACAAGATTGACCAGACCCGTCGCGGATCCCTTCTCTTGTGAATTATTGTGTACTTAACAGAAGCTTTCCTTGTCTCAGCATGTGCAGTCACCGACGCGGCACCAGGACGGGCGGGGATCAATTCTAGACCTAGTGATATCGCCGAGGATTTGCGATGTAGAACAGATCAAGCACCATCCTTCGTCAGGGTGCAGTGACCATATAATATTGGCTATTCGTTGACGGAATGCTACCCACGCACCCCTTGGATTGCATAAAAGTCGAAATGAACGGCGCACACAGTTTGACGCCGCACGGGCGACCGACATGGCTGTGCCGTGGCTCCCACTGATCCCTCATGAGATGAATGACGTAGAGTTAGTATGGGAACGCATTCGGGATGGTATCCTACACCTTACTGACACGTTCTCCCCAGCAAATCGCAGCATACCGCAAACATTGAGGCCACCATGGTTTGATCCTGAACTGCCACGATTACTCCGGCGCCGAAATCGCACTTGGCAAGCTTTTCGGGCCACCGGTGCAGGCTACGACCTCTATTGGAGAATTCAGAACGAGTTCACGGAGTTGAAACGATCCAAGCGGTGGAACTTCGAGGAGCAGCTGGCTCAAGAAAGGCTTCTAAACGTTTCTTTGGTTGTCTAAAGCGGCGCACGAGAGCTAGAGCTGGTATCTCAGCGTTGATCGATGGAGTTGACACGATTGACGCCGACGGAGACAAAGTAGAAGCACTGGACACACAGCACCTCTCAGTGTACACGATAGATGCTGGCTCCCACTAACAACAACCAGAACCACATCGATGTTACCTTCGAAGAGTTTTCAGAAGTGGAGGTAACGAAAGTGCTCCAGTCGATCAAGACGAGTCAGTCTCCGGGCCTGGATAGTGTTCATCCCTTCATGCTCAAGGAACTGGCAGTCCAGCTCCCCCTTAAATACGTGGCTTTTCAAACTGGTAATGCTCTGGGGAAGACTGCGCCAAGAGTGGAAGAAAGCGGTTGTGGTATCGATTTACATGGGCGGAGTGAAAGCTGCAGTAGGCAACTATCGCTACGTGAGCCTCACATCGGTTGTCGGTGAGACAATGAAACGGTTGGTGGTTTCACGATTTACGGATCACTTTGAACAACACTAGTGAATGTGTAAGGAACAACACGGATTCCGCCAGAGGCGTTCCTGCATGACCAATTTGCTGCTGGTCGGGAAGGTTGGTCTAGAGACAAGAATGAGGGATGCGGTACGGAGGTTATCTTCGTTGTCTTGAAGTATTAAAGTATTACACGGGTGTTGGGCCAGGTCCAATGGTCCCAAATCTTAGGGATTTCCAAGGTTTCTTGTGGTCCTGTGTCCCGGTGAGTCGGGTACGAACAAGGCTCCACTGCGGTGGATGTTGAATAATTAGAGTGAGTCAGCGTTTCGTTTGCATAATAAATGAGGTAAGAAGAGGGAAGGGGGTGCAGTATCTGCATGCAGAGGGACAAATCTAAAAATTTAGGAAAAAAATTAGGAACATGAATAACACTGTGGGATAGGGAGATGTTTACCGTTCAGGGATTAGACCAGGAAACAGGTCTAGATTCCTTTTGAACGCGGATCTTGTCAAGGCATTAACTACTTCTTGAGGGAGGCTATTCCAAAGGGGAATGACCCTGTGGGTGAAAAAGCATTGACGGACCAGTTTACGGGTATGCGCTCTGAAGAGTTTCATGCTATAGTCACGAAGATTATTCATAATATAAGCACAAAGAAGATATCAAACCTGCCGGAATGGAAGAGATTATACAGTAGGAAGATGTCACCTCTTCTCCGGCGGGTTTCGAGGGGGTACATGTCAAAGATGGAGAGGCGTCTNTGCACAAGTTTTGTCGCTCTCCGTTGTACACGCTTGAGGGCCGTAAAATCACTTACCAGGCGGGAGTGAGCAATTTGACTCCTGTATTCTAATAAAGGTTGAATGTTTGTGCTATAGAGAATCTGGAAGTCTTTTCTATCTATTCGAGGGAATGAGCGATTTAGGAAATGAAAAATACAGAAAGCGAATCTACTAGGTTTTTGTTGGTGTTAAGAGAACGAGAGTGACCTGGTCAGCCAGAAACCAAGAACATTATGATGTTCTACACCATCCATAGTCGTAGAATCCTTAGCCCTGAAACTGTGCACAGGGACCCTCCCAAACGAAATACTAACGCATTTGTCATCATTTATTGGAAGGTTCCAGGCCGTAGACCAGTCTTTGACTGCATCCATTGCTGATGGAAGAGCCGCAGGATCGGTGCCCCAAATTGTCACATAATCGGCGTACATTGCGACGTTAACTCCAATCCTGTGCAGCAGGTGGCCAAAGACGGAACCTTGCTGGACTCCGGCAGAAATGGAAGAATCAGATGAAATCGATGAACCTACACCGTCCGAGAAGATACGGTTTGTGAGAAAATCGCAAAGAAGA